TTCAGAGTTTCATAAAGTCTCTCAAACAAGCAGCCAGGCCTGGCACTAGAAGCAGCCAGCCTTGGTTCACAATTTGGCTTTCCCTGGGATCCTCCTAACCCAGCACAAGAAGCAGCCATCGGCATATCACTTTGTAGCTTATGCCGGGTGCCCCCGGATAGAACACAGGCAGTGGTTGACCTTGCCCCAGAGCCAGGATACCCAGTGGACAGCTTAAGACCACATCAAAACATCACCACCCATCCACCTCCACAAGTGACACACTCAATGAGTGGACTCAGTGGGAACCAGAGCCCTGATGAAGTAAGTCTTGCTCTGTGTGGTTGACCCCTATGCAGTTGATCTTCCAAGGTAGTCAGAGGCCAGTGGTCAGTGGGCACAGCCAGCTCTTGAAGCTGATCAGCCTAAGTAAATCACTCTCATTGACGTGCCAACAGTAATCAAGACTCAATTACAACAGAAGGATGTACAGCCCACACTAGGGGTGCACCTCAAGGGCCCAGCTGTGATAAGGGAGGGTGTGCTACTGGATCCTTCAGGACACCTACAACAATAGACCACCCTATGAAGTCTAGGAGACATAGCAACTCTACCTAATACATAGAAATAATCACAAAGCAGTCAAAATAAGGAGACAAAGAAACAAGTCCAAAATGAAAGAAAAGAACAAAACTTCAGAAAAGGAATTAAGCAAAATGAAGATAAGCAATCAATCAGATGCAGAGTTCAAAACACTGGTTGTAAGGTTGCTCAAGATACTTGGTGAGACCTTCAAGGAACTTAAGACCTCCAAGGAACTTAGTGAGAACATCAACAACATCAAAAAGGACCAGTCAGAAATTTAGGATGCACTAACTGAAATAAAGAATAATTTACAGGGAATCAATAGTAGAGTAGGTAAAGCCAAGAAGCAAACCATCGACTTAGAATATAAGGAAGCAAAAAACACCCAATCAGAACAGCAAAAAAAACAAAAAAAAGTATCCAAAAAAATGATAGTATACGGAGCCTCTAGGACAACTTCAAGCATGTCAACATTCACATCACAGGGGTGCCGGAAGGAGAAGAGAGAGAACAAGAAATTGAAAACCTGTTTGAAACAATAATGACAGAAAAATTCTCTAATATTGTAAAGGAAATAAACATACAAGTCCAGGAAGCACCGAGAGTCCCAAACAGGATGAACCCAAAGAGGTCCACACCAAGACACATCATCAAAATGCCAAAGGTTAGATATACAGAATCTTAAAAGCAGCAAGAGAAAAGCAGTTTGTAACCTACAAAGGAGCTCCCATAAGACTGTCAGCTGATTTCTCAAAAGAAATTTTGCAGACCAGAAAGGAGTGGCAAGAAATATTCAAGATAAAGAAAAGTAATGACCTACAACCAAGATTACTCTCTCCTGCAAAGCTATCATTTAGAATCGATGGACATATCAAGAGTTTCCCAGACAAGAAAAAGCTAAAGGAGTTCATCACCCCCAAACCAGTATTATATGAAATATTGAAAGGTCTTCTAGAAAGAGAACAAAAATATGAACAATAAAATGGTGATTGATACATATCTATCAACAACTGAATCTACAAACAAAATGAGTAAGCAGAACAGAAACAGACTCCTAGATATAGAGAACTTTTTGTTGCTTGCTAGATGAGCAGGGATTGGGAGGATGGGTGAAAAAGATGAAGGAATTAAGAAGTACAAATTGGTTGTTAGACTGATGAACCTCAAAGGGAAGGGGGGAGGGAGGGTGGGATGAAATAAACCAAAGAACTTTTATGTATATCTGCATAACCAATGGATACCGACAATAGTGTAGGGAAGGCAGGAGGGGGGTGGGATTGGGAAGGAAGGAGTCAATGGGGGAAAATGAGGGGACATCTGTAATACATTTAACACTTAAGATGAGTTTTAAAAAAATTTCAAGTAGAAAACCAAAAAATAATAATAACAGTCAAATCTATTTAAAAAGCTACCAGAATGAATATATGAGTTTATCAAAGTTACAGAATATAAGAACATACAAAAATCAATGTTAGAATGGTAAAAGAAATTATGGTAGATCCAGCCATGGAGTACTACTCAGCAAAAAAGATTAAAAAACAACTGGTACACACAACAATTTGGATGAAACTCAAGGAAATTATGCTGAGTTCAAAAAGCCAACCTCAAAAGAATACATATGATTTAATGAATATAACATTCATTAAATAATGTAATTATAGATATGGAAAGTAGACCAGTGGTTGAAGGTAGGGGAGAGAGAGAGAGAGAGAGAGAGAGAGAGAGAGAGAGAGAGAGGAGAGAGAGAATCTGCTTCAATGAGTACAGTCAGTAAACCTATATCAGTGTTTGATTTGAGGCCACAGTCTTCCTGGGCAGCTCCAGCCAGTGACTAATCATGGGGAGATAATAAGGCCTGGCCATTTCTGCCCCACACCGAACACCTAATGGAGAATCTTTGCTCTGGAGGTTCCTAAGGGGGTAGCCAAGTCTTTCTCAAACTTGTACCACAAGCTGAGGCTCTTCATATTTAACCTTTCTCCTTTTCCCTTTCACAGATGGCAGACCTTATCACATTCCCATTCCTTTTCTTTTCTTTTTTTTCTTTTAATCCTCACCCAAGGATATTTTTCTATTTATCTTCAGATAGAAAGGGAGGGAGGAGGAGAGAGAGAAACATCAATGTGAGAGAGACACGCCGACTGGCTGCCTTCCACACAACCCCGACCAGGGCCCAGGACAAACTACAACCAAGATACATGCCCTTGACCGGAATCGAACCCACAACTCATTGGTCCATGGGCCAATGCTCTAACCGCTGAGCCAAACCAGCCAGAGCCCATTCCCTTTCTATCCCTATTCTGCTCCCACTTCCTTTACCTTTCACAAGTATTCCCCCAACTAATCTACTACAGAGGACCCTTTTCAGAGGTGACAAACGAGAACTATCGCTCATCAAATGGCAAAAAAAAAAAAAAAAAGACTTTGTTCAATAATAGAACCACAGCCCTGGCCAATTTTTCTCAGTGGTTAGAGCTTTGGCCTGCGGTCCAGAGAGACCCGGGTTCGGTTCCTGCTAAGGGCACGTATCTCAGTTGCAGTTTGTCCCTGGCCCTGGTTGGCCGTGCGGGTGGCAGTCACTCAATGTGTCCCTTTCATACCGATATTTTTTTTTTCTCGCTCACTCTCTCTTCCTCTCTCTCCTTCCCACTCTGTCTGAACAAAAAAATGAAAAAATGTCCTCAGGTGAGGATAAAAAAAAATAATAACAAAACCACAGGTCACTGTATAACTATTAACTTATGTGGTGACTTATAGAGAAAAGTATCCAGATATAACAGATAAGTACATGTCCAATTTGTCATTGTGTTGTGTGCCCTAATGCCTATAGATGATGTTTTTGTGCATGGAGGGCAATAATCAAAGTAAAGAATACTAAGCAAACAAATCAGTGTCGGTTGGGATGACTTGGTGGGCTTAAATGCCTACTATTCATAGCCTATTTGCCAAGACCATCTAGAGAAGCTGTCGGAATACTCAAACTATATTTTGGATCATTGCTATTCATATAGTATTATTCTGCAGAACTCAACATTTTGGCATTCAATTATATTTTCAAAACTACCCAAGCCATAACTACTATGTGGCAACAATACATTGGGTGAATAAACTAACATTGGTCAAAACACCTTATAAGAGCTCTGGGTGAAAATGGCAAAGGTTTGGGAGTCCTAGAATGAGCCAAAATTGTCTTTAAAAAGAAGAAACATACTGAGAAAAAAAAAATGTAGGCTGTTTAGCAGAGATATTACTTCAGGAGAAAGAGAAAGAATGATGAGCAGTCTAGACAGAGTGCGCAGCCTTGGAGAATGAGAAAGACTCGAGATAGCTAGATAGACTGCTGAGGATCACACTGCCCTGAAATGAACCAGTAAACATGTTCCTTCACAACATATTTAAGGAAATAGTTTAAGGTAAATGGCCTAGGATTTTGGCAATCAAAGTGCAAGGAATAAACTTAGAGACTTGTGGTCCCTCTAGTCTATAGGAATTCATGACAGAATAATTTGCATATACCCTTTCTAATTGCAGAAACAAAAACTAGATATGCCCAATTTTGCAGTTAGAACAGGAAGACTTTTTTAAAATATTTTTTCTTTATTGGTTTTTAGGGGGAGAGAGAGAGAGAGATGGAAACATCAATGAGAGAGAACATCAATTGGCCGCCTCCTGCATGCCGCCCACTGGGGATTGGGCTCACAACCTGGGCATGTACCCTGACCAGGAATTGAACCAGCGACCTCTTGGTGCATGGGTCAATGCTCAACCACTGAGCCACACCGGCTGGGCAGAACAGGAAGCCTATTAAACTTGACTAGGATTTTAACATTTAGAAAAAAAAAAAAATGACCCATGTCAGCATAACCTTTAATATGAAGCATAGCATATGTCTATGCCCACAAGATTTGTAATTCAGAATTATAATAAGACTTAGCCCTTGATTTAGTCTCCAATCCATGACAACATTTAGTAAAAGGGCAAAGGACACTTTTAGTAAGAAAATACTAGTGTAATCATAATGAATTAATTCTGTAATTATTTATTCTAACTCATAATGTCAGTACTATTTGGTTGTAATTAGAAAGATTAATTTGATTTTTAACAAAGCCTAAGGTACTACTAATATCAACAATGAAATGTACTGAGAGATTCAATTAAAGACGTCTATAATGTGTTCTTCCATTTGAACCTGATTTTTCCAAATCAGGTTCCTCTCTGTAATCCTCCAAAAATTCATGAAAACTGAGAACACTAGTTTAAAAAAATTGTCAGAATCAACTGTTGAAGAATTTTAGAAATTAATCAAAGGCTTACAACAATCTGGGAATAATTCACTCAAGAAAAACTGCTGAAACTTTGTGAGAATTGTGAGCTTGTGGTTTTATAATTTGATCTATTCCTGCTTCTCTTCTCCAAATCAGTAATAGCTTTGAAAACTAATAACCTGGAATCACAGTGAAAATCACCATCCTAGAACACTCAGAAAGAGTAGAATGGGCCTGGATGTCCACTATGATCTTGCTGAGGTCCTGAGATTTGGGGACATCTAACTCCACAGTCAACCTAGAGTTGACTATCTGGTTTTGTAGACCATTTACTTCCTCCTCAAGGTTCTTCATGAAGAGCAGCTGCTCCTTGAGAGGTTCCATCTCTGACTCCAGCTGCAGCTGAGTAATATTGATGTCATCAATGACCTTTCCAAGCCCAATTATGTCACTGTCCACAAACTGGTACATGGCCAGCTCCATCTCATATTTGACTCTGAAGTCATCAGCAGCAAGACAGGTATCATCAATCTGCAGAACAATGTGGGCATTGTCCACAGAACTTGCAAAGATGTGAGCCCTCAGGTCTTCAAGGTTCTTGAAGTAATGGCCCCAGTCTCTGACCTGGGGTCACTTCTTCTCCAGGTGTTCCCAGATTTTGCTCTTTAGTCTCCAATTATCAGCCTCCAGGCTCTTCACCCTCTCCAGATAAGAGGCCAGGTGGTCATTTAGACATTGCATAGTCTCCCTCTTGTCCTGAATGCTGCCTCTGCCCACCAGACACCCAGCCATCCCCCGAGCAAGTTTCTCCAGGCCCCTATCCACCCTGCATACTGGTGGAGTGGGACATGGAAATCCAGTATCTTGAATGCCCAGCTCACTGCTGACCAGCCACGTCAGGTGGGTGGGCAACTGCACAGAGCCCAGGGTCCAGTAGTTGATGGAGAAGCTAGAGCAGGTGCTAAAACTCTTGATGTTTGGAGAGAAAGGTGAGAGGCCAAGACTCAGGTTCAAATCACTGAAAATTTTAATTAAGAAGCCCAACAACAGATTTGAGGAGGTAGAAGAGAGAAATCAGCAAACTTGAATATAAGTCACTTGAGATTACCTAGACTGGGAAAAGAAAGAAGGAAATGAGAGGGGAGGGGAGGGGAGGGGAGGGGAGGGGAGGGGAGGGGAGGGGAGGGAAGGGGAGGGGAGGGGAGGGGAGAGGAGGGGAGGGGAGGGGAGGGGAGGGGAGGGGAGGGGAGGGGAGGGGAGGGGAGGGGAAGGAAAAAGGCAGGCAGAAAGAAAGAAAGAGAGAAAGAGAGGAAGGAAGGAAGGAAGGAAGGAAGGAAGGAAGGAAGGAAGGAAGGAAGGAAGGAAGGAAGGAAGGAAGGGAAGGGAAGAAGAAAAATGAGTCCGGCTGGTATGGCTCAATGGTTGAGCATCAACCCATGCATCAAGAGATCACCAGTTTGCTTCCTGGTCAGGACACATGCCGGGGTTGTGGGCCCAATCCCCAGCGGGGAACATGCAGGAGGAGGCCAATCGATGTTCTCTCTCATCGATGTTTCTATCTCTCTCCCTCTCCCTTCCTCTCTCTCTAATATCAATAAAGGGGGAAAAAAAATTTTTAAAGAAAGAAAAAGAGCCTCAGAGTCCTTTGGGACACTATCAGCTGTACAAACATATGCATAATGGGAGTCCAAGAAGGAAAGGAGAGAGAGAAAGGAACATTAAAAAAAAAAATCTGAATAGCCCTGGCTGGTTTGGCTCAGCACTTTGAGCGTTGGCCCGCTGACCAAAGAGTCTCGGGTTTGATTCCAGTCAAGGGCACGTACCTCAGTTGCAGTTTGGTCCCCGGCCCTGGTCAGGTCATGCAGGAGGCAACCAGTCAATGTGTCTCTCTCATTGATGTTTCTCCCACTCTCCCTCCCACTTTGTCTGAAAATAAATGGAAAAATACCCTCAGGTAAGGATTTTAAAAAAGAAAGAAAAGTCTAAAGAGGCCTGGCCAGTGTGGCTCAGTTGGTTGGAGTATCGTCCCTATACACTGAAAGGTTGTAGGTTCAATTTCTGGTCAGGGTGAGTACAGGAGGCAACAGATCAATGTTTCTCTCTCACATCAATGTCTCTCTCTCTCCCTCTCTCTCTCAAATCGATAAGCATGTCTGCCAGTGAGGATTTTTTAAAAATTCTGAAGAAATAATGATCAAAAACTTTCTAAATTTGCCCTGGCCGGTTTGGCTCAGCAGTTAGAGCATCAGCCTGCGGTCCTGAGAGACCCGGGTTCAGTTCCCGCTAAGGGCATGTACCTTGGTTGCAGTTTGTCCCCGGCCCTGGTCGGTCGTGCGGGTGGCGGCCACTCGATGTGTCCCTTTCACATCGATGTTTCTCTCTCTCTCTCTCTCTCTCTCTCTCTCTCTCTCTCTCTTCCTCTCTCTCCCTCCCACTCTACCTGAACAAAAAATGTCCTCGGGTGAGGATAAAACAACAACAACAACAAAAAATAATAAAAAAAAACTTTCTAAATTTGAGGAAAATTATTAATCTACATATCCAAGAAGCTCAAGAAATGTCAAATAAGATATACTCAAAGATGGGATAAAAATATTCTAAAATCTATTGTGGTGATGGTTACAGAACTCTGAATACTAAATTCCATTGAATTGTACTCTTTGTTTATTTTTATTTTTTTATTTTTTTTATCCTCACTGGAGGATATTTTTTCCATTTTTTGTTCAGATAGAGTGAAAGGGAGAGAAAGGGAGAGAGAGAGAGAGAGAGAGAGAGAGAAACATTGACATGAAAGGGACACATCTAGTGGTTGCCACCCGCACAACCCAACTAGGGCCGGGTACAAACTGCAACTGAGGTACATGCCCTTAGTGGGAACCAAACCCAGGTCTCTCTGGACTGCAGGCCGATGCTCTAACCACTGAGCAAAAACTGGTCAGGGCGAATTGTACTCTTTAAAGGTGTGAATTGTGTAGTACGTGAATTATAAAATTTTTTTAAAAGAAGGGAATGAGCCCTGGTGGGTTTGGCTCTGTGATTAGAGCATCAGCCGGTGGACCAAAGGGTGTGGGTTCAATATCTGGTCAAGGGCACATACCTGAATTGCAGGATTGATCCTAGGCCCCAGTCAGGGTCATGTGGGAGCCAACTAATTAATGTGTCTCTCTCACACTGATGATTCTCTCTCTCTTTCCTTCCCTCCCTTCCACTCTATCTAAAAATCAATGGAAAAATACCCCCAGGTGAGGATTAACAACGACAACAACAAAAGAAGGGAATGAGATACTGATACATGCTACAATGTGGAAGAAAGTTGAAGACATTTCACTAAGTACAAGAAGCCAGTCACAAAAAGTAATATAGTGTATATCTATCCATATAAAGTGTTCATAAAAGGCAGTTCTATAGAGACAGAAAGTAGATTTGTGGTTGCAGGAGCTGGAGACTCCAGAAAGGCTGCTAATGGGTGTGGGATTTCTTTTGGGGATAATGAAATTTTTCTGCAATTACATAGTGGTAATGGTTATACAATCTCGTGAATACACTAAAAATTACTGTATACTTTTAAAGGATGACTTTCATCATTTGTAAGCTATATCTCAATTCTTTAAAAAAAAAAAAATCCCCTCTCCCCCCACACCAAATTCTCAGTGGTGGAAGGAGATAACACTATTGTTAAACTTATACATGATTAAGAGCATTCCTGTGCTGGAAATTTAGTAAAATGAAATGTTTAAAATAAAACCTATTTAAACAGTACTTACTAAAAGATAGTTATTACTTTGGGGAAAAAAATGTTCTTTTTCTTTGTCTGTTCTATAAATAGCCAAAATTTTGGGGGGGGGGGGGAATGCAATACAAATTTAAAAGGCATGACCTATTGTCAGAGGGAGATGGTATAGGATAGTTATCTTACAGCTGGACCTGGACAACTATATGCTCATCTCTGGGAATGTCTGGGATTCTGGCTCTTAGCCAAGATAAGGGCAGTGAGCTAATGATTTACGATATGCTGTTTAAAGGTCAAGCTCTCCTGGTGTCAGCCAGGACCAGATTGTTTATTGATGACTTATACCCAGTGTAACCAGTTGAACTGCCTGATTTGGCTGTGTGACCAAGAGAGACATAAAAGACCCTGATGGGAACTTTTAAGTACCTGTCCCAAGACAAAGATCTATCATCACCTAAGTCTTGGCAATTCAAGACAAAGTACATCCTTCTACAAATAAGCAAGACACTGGGGAGCTACACTGGAAAGTTTCTTGAGACCCAGATGCTTGCTTGCACTCTCCTTCTCCTGCTGTGCTATATCCTTTTCCTTTATTGATCATGCTTTGTGAAGCCTCATAAGTCTTTTAATTATCCAGTCGAATGCACTCTTTGTCCTAGTAATGCATTCCATACTGCAAACCTTTTTTTAATAAAAGGTGAAAGCGGAGAAGCCTCAGAAATGCTATTCCAATGGGGCTCTCAAAACCCAGCGATCAAATATGAACAGAGGGTAGTCCCATCCCCAGAGCAGTGCCAATATATCCAGCAGTTGTTCATGAAAAGAGGTGCCAAAGAGAATGTTGTCCACCCCAAACCTGGAAACTCAAAGCTGGTTGTCCAATTCAAACCACCAAAATTGCGGCATTTCACAAATAAGGGTGCAAGAGTTATAGCTGTGGAAGAGAAATGTACAGTGATCAGGAACATTCTCAGTGAGTCCAAGAAGTAAGGGTCAGGCAACCCAATCCTGAATCTAAGAACCTACTTTTATGTACCAACTCAACCCACATCACCTAGCATCTGGATGGACCAGAGGTCTAAGTCAGAGATTTGCGTAACCGTCTATGGCTCTTCAACAAAATGATCACAAACATCCTCTGATCATGTTCTGGTAGAGAAAGGCTTTGGATTGAAATGTATCAGAACAGTTCTGGAGCCTGAACATGTAGACCAGGTGGACATCCCCTACTCCTACATCTCACAATCAGGTTCCTAGAGCCACCAGAACCTTCTTCATAGATAATCCTATCTCTCTGGCACACATGTTCAAATTTTTCCAAATTCCACCTCTGCTAAGTACCAGGGGCACACGGATCCAGAGCCTCACTGCTTTGGAGTAGATCTTCGATGCTTTCATCTGTTTTTCCTGAGCTCAGAATATCAAGAAGGTACCCAGAGGAAGGTCAACTCCCTGAATGTTTAATTAGCAAACCCACCCCTCTAGTTGCTATTTAGCCACTATCATTCATTCCGCCATGATCACCTGGATGTCATCCTTTCCACTCAAAGTGTAGTGAGGAGACAGCCTGGCTTGCCACCACCCTAGAGAATTTTAGCAATATCCTGGTTCTCAGTATACTGGCTTATATTTGTCACGCAGTCTGTGGTCACACCCTAGACCTTACCATCTGGAACCATTCGGCTTTAAGATCCTAAGATCTGTGCATTTAGACAGCACCCTGGCCCCAGCAGCCAGTTCTTCCCACCTGCTTAGGTGATAGAAGGGACTAGCATGGCCTGCTAGAGCCTCGTGCAAGGATTCCTTCCAGGGAATGCTTGAGCCAGTACAAACCCCATCCAAGCCAACGATTTGCTTTTCCTGTTTAAAATACCTTTGAACATTTCTGTGAAAGCTGAAAGCACAAGGGAAGAAGTAGATTCTCCAAACTTTTGGTTTTGTTTGTTAATTTTGGGTGGAAGGGAATGCAGCTGATTTTCCTTCAGGACCACCTATTTCCTAGGAGACAAAATGAAAGCTGAGGAACAATTCTCCAAAGACTCTCTCTCCCAGGAAAAGGCGCTGGTCTTAGTCTCAGTCCCCAGAAGGATGACTACTTACCTCAGCAAATGGAAGTGAAGCAGGTTAAACACACACACACACACACACACACACACACACACACACACACAGTAAACACAGATGACTTCATTTTTCCTCACACCTTTGTTTGGGGCAGACATAAATCCTTTTTCTGTCCAAACTCCTGCTTCAAGCTCAGAGTTGTCTCTGCCAGGTCAGTGCACCTCTATCTGAGCACCTAAGAGGAACAATGCCACCTAAACCATGAGATGTCATCTGGCTGCTCTTGTAGATGTCTGTCCCCAGTGCGCAGAAAACACTTGTCAACACCCAGGGAGCACAGACACCTCGCAGGGGGATGACTGGATTGAGAATATTTAAACTAAAACAAGATAATGATTGCATATACATTATAAAGTAATATATATCTATTTATATGCATATTCATTTAGAATTAAAAGTTTAATTGTTGTCCAGTTGGTAGAAGACTGAATAAAGTACTTACTTTTCAGATTATCAGCTGTTTTGACATTTTTTCATATGTGATACCAGGTCTGTTCACTTTCTATGTATCTGACAGGTTTTAGGAATTATACTTTGAGATATTTATGGAGTTATACCCAAAACTTACATCCAAGTGTGAAATTACAGTATTGATAAAGATGTAAATTAAATATTTTCAAATGCATTATTAAAAAATTAGTATAACTCACAGGAAGTCAAAGTTTTCATTATATCATTTGTTTCTGTTTCAGAAGACTAGCCTTGCTGAAATATAAAATGCTTCAGGCACTAGTGGAAAATGAAATACCTCAACTATTCCCAGCTGTTGAATGCATTAAATTCCTAAGTGCCACGTAACAAACATTTGACTTCTTAAACTCTGCTTTTATAGAAAACAAAAAGCATGAACACATTAAATGTATAATACTAGGAACCATGAAATGAAAATAGCCTTTTACATGCTTCAATATACCAATTGTTTTCATTTCTGGTTCTCAAAGCTTTCTTAGTTATGCTTATTGACTTGAATTGAAAGCACAGGTCCTGCGATAATACTCTTACATCATTCCTTGGATAGTAAGCAGCCACTGGGAGCCTGATAGCAATCTCAGTTTGGCCAATTCCCCTACTTACCTTTGTATCTCTTGTTTACAGCAATATATGGGGCTTTCCAAACTCTTTAAAATCACTTAAAACCTGCCCTGACAGGTTTGGCTCAGCAGTTAGAGCGTCACCCACAGACCGGAGAGTCCTGGGTTTGGGTCCCACAAAGGGCATTTATCTTGGTTGCAGTTTGTCCTCAGCCCCAGTTGGGGTCATGTGGGTGGCAGCCACTCGATGTGTCTCTCTCATATCGATGTTTCTTTCCCTCTCTTCCTCCCGTACTCCCTCATGCTCTATCTGAAGATAAATGCAAAAATGTCCTCTGGTGAGGATAAAAAAAATTAATTAAATAAAAATTAAGCTAATAAATAAAATCACTGAAAACCTGTTTCAAACTAGCAGAAGAATTGACTTGTCTTTATAAGAACATTCACTGCACAAAAGCGCAATGGAAATAAGAAGCAGATTGGGGGCAGAGCCAGACATACATACATCTGTATATTATACACCACACCCAGCTGTTTCAGCACGGTGGAAGAGATTTAGAAGATCTATGTTCAAATTCAGTCACCTACCATAAATGGTAGAGCCATGGGTATATACCAGATTGATTTGTCTTCACAGTAAAGTAAAAATAATACCTAACTCAGGATTTTGCTAAGGACTATATCAGATCCATGAGTAAATACTGAATGTTAGCTATGACTGAATGTTCATAATTATGTGTGTATAGATATGTCATGTAAAATTGGGATAAGCTGTTTTCTTCAGACTATTCCTTAGCTCTAGACAAGTATTATCAAATGGGCTCTTCAAAAAGCTTGCATAAATTTACATTACAAGTATGGATAAGCCCATTTCCCAAATTCTGCACAAACACCAACGTGACAGGTCCAATATGATATCTTCATTTTCATGATGATTCACGACATAACTTCATGTTTATGGACTGTGTCTGCGCTGTCTATGTCATTTGCCTATTCTGTAAGAGTGTTCCCTTTAAGATGCAGTGTACATAAGGAACAGAATTTGTCATTTGTTAAAATACTTTTTCTAATTTTTTACTTGTTTCTAATTTTGCTTATGGTATTTCCAGTATACAGAAGCTTCAAATATTCAAGTCATAAAATGAAATACTTCTGCTTTTGAAATAAAAAGATTTGCTGGTATGTTCATCAAATGCTAAATAATTTGGGTTTTTTTCATGTATCTAATCAATCTGAAATTAATTTTTGTACAATGAGATGTTTCTTTTTATTTTCAAATTGTCCATTTTTTCCATTACCATTTATCAATCTGTCTTTGCCCCAATATAAAACTCTACTTTTTTTTATATACTACTTTATGTATTTTTATCATTATAGAATTCCTATTCTACTGACCTTTCTGTTTTTCACGTGATAACTGTTTTCATTTTGCCACTTCACTGTGGTACGAAGATTCTAAGATAGACCCCAAGATTCACAGCCTCTTTAATACACCTACCTGCTCATTAAAAGCAGCACGTTTTTCTGGCTGGTCTGGCTGGCCTCAGAGGAGGAGGCCAGAGAAATGTGTTTAGGTTAGCCTGGAAGAAAGCAAATGTCCATTTTAGGGACTGCCCGTGGGAGCCACATGTGGAGGAACAGCAGGTGCCCCCTGGAGCTGAGAGCGGCCCCAGCTCACTGCTAGATGAACAACAGGGATCTCAATCCTACAACCACAAGGAAATGAATTCTGCCAACAACTGAAGAGCTTGGAAGAGGTCCCTGAACCCAGATGAGAGCTCAGCCTGGATGACATCTTTTTTTTTATTAAGTATAGTTGGTATACAATATTATATTAGTTATATTAGTTTCAGGTGTACAATAATGACTCAACATTTTTATACCTTGATTTAAGCATCATAATACTCTTACCAGAAAACCCACCCACACCTTGCCAAACATCTGACTTACAGAATTGTTAGCTAATAAGTGAGTGTCTTTTAAAGCCACTGTTTGTGGTAATTTGTCATACAGTAATAAAAATTTTTTTAAAACTCACATATTTATAATACACTTTCAAGGCACCATCAATTGTTTTCATGCTGTATTATTCTCATTCATCACACTTCCGAAGCACTTCAAATTTCTTCAAAATTAAAGAGAACAGGTGGAGTGAACGGAAGCTACACAGACCATCTCCCAGAACCAAACTGGAATTACAACTATAACACAGACAAATGGACGGGAAAAAACCAACACAAAAGCAGCTTGTGAGGACCATATAACCAGGGACACTGACTCAATCCTGGTAGGTTTGCGAAGGCGCAAGACAGGGGCTGGGAGTCCATGGT